AGCGTGAGTCCAGGAGAGGCTGCCTCCTGGGAGGTTACGGAAACGGGGGGCTGCGGGCAGGCTCTCTGGAGAGGCATTTTGGCAACAGTTTGCCCTGGTATGTGAAAAATTTTTCCTGCTTAGATGGCTGGCAAACATTTTAGAGGCAAAATGGTATTTATTAACAGAAAATATTTGTCAAGTACTGTTCTCTCTCCCCTCCCTCTGTTCTTTTCTTCCTTTTCTTTCTTCTCTCTCTCTCTCTCTCTCTCTCTCTCTCTCTCTCTCTGTCTGTCTGTCTGTCTGTCTCTCTCTCTCTCTCTCTCTCTCTTTTCTCTCTCTCTGTCTCGCTCTCTCTCTCATCTTCCTTTTCCTAGGGTGGAGGACTTCATCGACAAGCTTCTTTCATCTTCTTTTGCGGTTTGGATGGTTAAGTCTGGCTTGAAGAAGAGGGAGATGGCTTTCAGGGAAACGCTGGGCCCTCTGCCCACAGGATGGCTTCCTTCTCTACATGCAGGTGTCAGCTTTCTGTCCTGGGAAAAGCCCGGACTGATACAGAATTGTCTTTCCAGAAGAATTCCTCTGTTCATCCTGGCATGGGCTTGGAGCCCCACCTGGGTCTGAATCTGTAATTACTATTGGTAGTGGACTTTCATCTTTTTGAGCTTCCATTTCCTTTGGAGTGAGTGAAATGAGGTGGGAATAATACTTATCTCTTGCCGTAGTTGTGAGGATGAAATTAAAAAAGTGTACATTAAGTGTCTGGTATAAGGTCTGGCCCAGAGTAAAACCTTAATGAATGTTATTTCTGCTCCTTCTGAAACAGGACAGAGACCCTGATAGTAATCTGCTCACGGAGTTACTAAACTAAGGTTCAGAATATGATGGCTTTGGGTATCAGTTAATAAAGAAGTAAGACTCAGGCTTCATAAAACCTGCACTTAACCAGAAGCAGCAAAAATAGATAATGTTTGAGAGTTTACGAAGGATCAAGTGTTCTAAACACTTTACTGCTGTTATACAACCCACACAACTATCCTACTGTCATCCCAAGGACAAAAGTCATAGACTGGCTGAACCAGCATTTGAACTTAGCCATCTGGTTCCGCAACCTATTTTCTGAACCATGGTGAATGTTCCATCAGTGCAGTAATGAAAGGGAAACACGAAATCATATCCTAGAAATTGAAAAGACTTGAAAGATAAGCTGCTCCAGACCTGTTTTGCAGACTTTTGGGTCAGTATCCTGCCACCGAGAAAGAGGAATGATCAGATCTACTGGGGGAAGAGCCTGCTGCTCAGCCACACTGCCCTTGAGAATCACAAATCTTAATTTAAATGCCCAACAGGAATTTAACCCACCCCCAAAACACCCCCAAAATTCGTAATCACCTTTGATTGCATATTGGCCATGAGGGAGGCATCAGGGCGTGCATGTGCCATGGTGTGTGTGTTGGGGGAATGAAGTGGAAATGGGAACAGGCTTCTGACCATGCGAAGCTCATCTTTGTTGAGTTGGAATGTGGCAACTACAGAAACATGACTCCAGAAACTATTACTAGGCTCTCTATGGAGATACAGAGGAAGAGGGACCTGTGCCCATGTCTCTTGATGGATCAGGAAAGACTCATTTGCAATGACCCTAAGAAAACATGGGCTGGGCTCTATTTTTTCCCATCTAGGCAGAGCCCAGCCATACCTGTATATATGGGTACAGCCATACCAGTTCTTAAAAATATAGAAAACCATCTGTACCACTTGGTAAATACCCACTAGTGTCCCTGGCCACCCCACTCTCTCTCTTTGCATGTTCAAACCTCTCTTAGTCCAGCAACTGATGAGTTAACACACACCCCAGCAGAGGGCCTCTGGAAGCCTGCTCTCACCTTCAGAGTTGACTATCTGTTAAGACTGGTCTAAGACTAAAGTCATTCTTCCTGTTCTTAAATAGTTTGAATATCGCCCCCAGACAAAGCTACTCAAATGGAATGAGGCATCTAAACAGAGCCACACGGGGTTCATCTGGCCCGGGCCCCCTCCTGGAGAAGTCCTGCAAATGAAATCTGAAGAGGTAAGGGATGCAATTTAGTGGCCAGGAGAGTGAGGGTTTGAACTAAAGCTCTGATTAAGGGGCAATCCAATCCTCCTGCAGCATGCCGGCTTTTAAACACAGGGCTCAGGCGCCTTGCACATCCTTCTGCCCTCGGCTGCCCTCTGGGCCCCGCCCAGAGACAGACTCTGAGCGCAGGCCTCGCAGCCAGCGGCCACATTATTAATACTCCTTGATCTGTTCGACTCCCTGCAGTTCCCCTGCCACAGGCGCCCTCCCCCCTCTCATTGCACATGCTCAGGGCTTACGCTCCTAGACAACAGGAGCTACAAGAATGCAGGTCAGAACAGTCGCAGAGGGCTCCCCAGCAACTTGTGAAATCCTCTGCCCACCAGGGTCCTCCAAAGGTCATCCAGGCAGGATCGAGGGTGAGAGGCTTCCATTGGGACCCAGACA